TCTGAGATACCCAACGATCCAAAGCTCTTCAGACATCACAACAAACTCCGGCTCTGTTTCAAAGACTTCACAAAAAGGTATGGAATGTGCTTCCCAAACCACCTGCAAACTGCAGACTCAGTACAGCATTTTTTACAAGCACTCTGAAATGTAAAAAAACCCCAAACAATTGAAATAAAAATGTTCCAAGCAAATAGATCCAGTGGCAATGCAGAATAAATGGCACTGCTGATACAGTTCCTTTCATACCCTTTATTTAAATTACATCTTTGCGAGTGGAAGAATTCGTGACGAACATCCCAGCCTGGTACTTACTAATCTTCCCTGATTCTATCCATCTCTAAATCCTCTGGGACTGAAAGTGGCTTTGTGAAGATCAGCTTTTCATTTCTCCTCAGAGAGAATAAACATAACTGGAGAGCAAATTACAATAAAAAAGGAGTTGTCACTCTGGAAGTGAAATGGAAATTGGAAATATGACACCCTCTCCTTCCCCCATGGACACCAGGAGGTTTAGCTGAGTGTTTATCACCCAAAAGACAAGATAGAAAAGGATTTTATGTCATCCCAGGGGAACAGAATGGATTTTTTTGTACTGTTAGATTAACAAATCTGCAGCAAACAGGTCCTTACAGCCGTGCCCAGGTTTCACAGGGTTTGTTTCCCAGGTGTGAAGACGCTCTGCGCAAGAACAAGAGCCTGATTGGGCCGGACCAGAAGGAATATCAGCGGGAGCTGGAGCGGAATTACCACCGGCTAAAGGAGGCCCTGCAGCCCCTCATAAACAGGAAGATCCCCCAGCTGTACAAGGCAGTGCTGCCAGTCACGTGCCACAGGTGGGTGTTTGATTTTCCCCTCTCAGCAGGGATAAGGAGAGTCAAAAACCAGGGACTGGGGTGTCTGATCTTCCCAGTGAACCTGCAAGCATCTCTTTGGTTTCAACTGTGGCTCTTTTGGCTGAGTCCATCCCTGTCCCCTCTGTCCTGCCTGAGAGCACATTCCCTTCCCAGCAGCTGTGGTAGGTGGTGTTTGCAATGCTCCTTTTTCTCCTTGGCTGTGACAGTTTTTTGTTTCCATCCCGCATCCCATTCTTCTTAGATGCAAAAACCCCCTCACTGTGGCAGGACTTTAACACCGGCTTATTCCCAGTGAAACTGGGATTAGTCGCTCCAGGGGCAGGCAGGGTGGAAAAATATATGGTGGAAGGCCAGGAAGGTGAAGTCTGGGCCTTTTGTTTGTCTGCAGTGAGACAGAACATAAAACCCTACTGGGAATCACAGGATCATAGAGGGGTTTGGGTTGGAAGGAACTGTAAAGCTCATCCAGTTCCACCCCTTGCCATGGACAGGGACACCTTGCATTATCCCAGGTTGCTCCAAGCTCCATCCTACCTGGCCTTGGACACTTCCAGGGAGGGGGAATCCACAACCTCCCTGGGTAAATCAGAGGATGAGGATCCATGAGGTCATGGATAAAGCAGGTCAAAGCCCATAGCAGAAATGTGGCCTTCCCTCCCTGTCCTGTCCAGATTTGGGATGTTTTAATCTCCCCCCAGATCATGCGCTGCTATCCTAGCTGCTCTCTGGAGGCAGTTTTCACCAGCTGGGAATGGTGAGAATACCAGTGCTTCCCTCCCTACCCAACTGGGAACTTCAGAAGCACTTTTGGCTGGGTAATTATCTAATCTTGTGAAATTCAGCCTGTGCAGGGAACCTAATACAGGTATGATATAGAATATCCCGAGAATCATGGAATATCCTGAGTTGGAAAGGACCCACAAAGACCTTCTAGTCCCACACCAGGTATTCCTGGCAAATTGCACTTATATCTGTATTTGAAAGACTTAAAAAAGATTTCGGTAGGGCAGGTGGTTTGTGCTGCTTCCCTTGTGTACACATGAATTAAACTGTCAGTTTTCTGGATGGTTGGATGGTCCCAGATCCAAACCCAATTCACTGGAAAAGCAATGAGTTAATGCCAATGGAGTTAATTTTTGTAGAAAACACTGGAAGTCAAGTACAGAGTCATTCATCTGATGAGGCTTCTTATTTCACCATGGAAAACCTGAGCTCATCATTGTATTTTCTCTCCCTCAGAGACTCCTTCAGCAGGATGAGCCTTCGCAAAATGGAAATCTAAACGAGTTAAAAACCAAAATAAAAAAAAAAAGCACTTAAAATTAAGGTTTTGAAAAGAAAAAGAGCCTTGTTATCAGCGCTGGGAATCAAAGAAGTTTTATTGTGAAATAAAACTTGGACTTCATCCTGGACATCCCACACACCTCTTCCTCCATCAAAGTGTTCAGTGGCCAAAAATCATTATGAATTGTCAAATGTAGACTTAACAATGTTTGGAAAAAAAAATCATGGCAGTGGTATCCAGAGTATTGGTGATGAGCTGTAAACTTACCTGTTTTTTAAGGCATTTTTATGACTCAAAGGTACACTAAACGCATTTACCTTTATTTATAGCGTTACCTAATGTTAAATTTATTTACTTTTAGTTCCTATATTTAATTTATATTAGGACCATACGCAAATGCATTTTGGAAATTTTTAATGTAGTGATGATGGTTATTTTGATGGTACTATTAAATATGTGAATGTTTACACTTTAATTCCCTGTGCATTGGACTTCAGAGCCCACCATCCCTGGGGAAAAAGTTCAGAGAAAGGTAAGTCTTATGGCATCACTTGTTAACATTTTTTATTATCCTTTTTCTTTGGTAACTTTGCTGCAAAGAAAAATAATTCCATCTGTAGCCAGCAGAAGGCTGGATGGAGGCACATGTTGGTACCACTTCACCTCCTCCAGTACCATGAGGTGGAGTTCCAGCTTGATTTCTGTGTGTACATGGTCATTTCCACCAGCTGGAAAGTCCAGACATCTCATCACTTGGAATTAGCAGTGTCCATGCAACCAAACTGTTTTGTTCCTTTTTTAATTTAAAACCTAGTTTCTTGGGGGAAAAAGAACATAAAATGATATCACAGTTAAAAGTGTACATAGAAAGCATTCTTTGCATTGCTGTTAATGTAAAGACGTGGTTAACAGCAGTGATTTTTGGGTCTAACACCACATTTGGAGGAAGCAGCAGATATGGAGCTGAGTATTCAACTCCTAAATCTGGTCCTTTATATTTGTCCTCTCTTGTGTTGAATAGTCCCTTGGAAGAGGTGGGATGTGACTGAACACAAGCTTATTCTCTCTATAGAAATACCTAAATGTGCATCTATATACATGAATACACACAAAAACTGAATTTGATAAACATACTCTTTATATATATTTATATATATATAAATAGAAGGAAAAATGGGTTTAAACATGAAGCGCACACCTTCCTGCAGCAGCAGTGAGGGTTTAGGTGGCGTCTTTGTTGTCCTCAATACTTAGTTCAAGTTGTTGGAAGTGCTGTGGCCAAGGGGTGCCTTGGGAAGGGACAGTTCTGCTGATTTTCCCTCCTTCTCCCAGGCTTTTATTCCAACAGCTTCACAGTGGTGGTGTTTTGGGGAGTGTTAAGTGTGTCCATCTTTGACCATTTCCCTGGAATATGAATAATCCTGAACTGGTTCTTTGTCATGGGATGTAACATAGGAGCACCTGCCTACAGAAAAGCTCTGACCTTTTAAGGGATATTTAAAGCCGAGGGGCGTTGACAAGATTGTGGAAGCATTAGAGGAGTCAGGGACTCTCATAATGGAAAATATTAAGGAAGGAGGGAGTGGCTTTGCAAGACATTTACAGGAACAGGCATTGAAAATATTTACACAGTGAAAAAGGGGGAATAAATCAAAATAAACATGAAAGAATGAAACTTTAATTTACAGCAGTCCTCTTCCAGGAGGGTTACGTGAGTTACTGCAGCAAGTGGCAAGTTCAGGAGGGTGGCAAGTGGTGCTCAAGTATATCTCAAAAAAACCCCACCCCCTGCTCCCTCTTCTCCCTGTGCCAGAGGAGTGTTTTTCATTCAGAATCTCTCTGTTCAGCTGCCACAAAGAATCTTCTCCCAAGCTTTATGCTATGATGGAAGACAGCTGGATCTTCCTCACATTTTGTTGAATATAATGGCATTTTGTTTCCTTGGAAACACTCCTGATTCTGCAGTTGAATGAAAAAGATAATTCTCGGGTCAGGTGTGGAAAAATAAACTTTCATTTGCAGGCTGAAATTCAGTAAACCTTAAAAAATTGCATTCTGTAATAGGATGGGGCTGCCCTTGCAAGGTAAGATCACTGTTATTTTTTTAATGTAGCTATTTCTTGGTTTAGACTCTGAAATTATTTATTATGATGCAATGCTTTGGAAAAGGAAAAGGTTGTAAGTGCATTTGTCATTCCAGCTTTTTTATCTAGGATATGCTGCAAAGTCAAGGCCTGTACAACAATCAGACGTTGTGCAGACACTAACATGGAAAATACACTAAAGATGCTTTTCCTGAGTTACCTCAAGTGTTCATACAACATTTTAATAAAAGGTTGTAAAAATTAAATATTGCAGAATGAACTAGGTAGAGGTTTTTAGGGCTTTTCCTGTAAATAAATTAATTTGTATTAGAAAAAGGTAAATATATCCCATAAACCAGGGCATACTCACATCCTGGACATCTTCCCTTGTCTCTCTACAATCTTCATGTCATTCCATCCATCCCATGACAATTAAACACTCACCCTGCTTTGTGTCATATTGGTTAAGACTCTGCCAGTTTATAGGATTCACCTTAAATTGTCTAACAATTTGGGATTTTCATCCCTAATGTTTAGTGCAAACATTTTTGGGTTTGCAATAATTACCTGTTTACCCTGAACCTCACACCTCTGGTTATCAAATGCCTTTAAATTAGGATCTGCTGTACAAGAATCAGTTAAAAAAACCCTATAGAATGTTATTTTTAAAATCTTCCATTTCTTTAAGACAATTTATCACCCTTTTTATAACTGTTCCTAAATCACTTCCGCTTTGTTTTTCCCCTTCCAACACAACAGTCTGATCTGGTGGTCTCAGATGAGTATCATAAGTTTTTTATTTCATATATACATTCTTAACAAAGCATCAAAGCCAAATGCTTTCATTTTCCTATTTTGCAGTGAGCTCAGGTACAAATTAACTGTTAAAAGGTCACCACTAAGTTCCAAACTCACCCAGACATATATGCAGATCAGAGGGCTCCACTCTTCAAAGTACAAAATTATTTTAATTACACTACACTCTGCCCCTGTGTTGAAGTATTAATCACTCCTATTTACACTTTGCCCTTTAACACCTATGCAACAAGATGCAAATCAGGCCAGTCAAGCATTTCTATGAAGTTCAGGTCCCTCCAATGCACTAAACAAGGTTCCAAGACCCTTTTCCTTGTGCTCTGAGTTGCACAAAGCAGGAAGGAAAAGGATCAGAATAAACCACATCAATTACCCAAAGACTAAATATGAAGTGTTACTTCCCAAGTTACAAAAATACACAACTTTTGGTGAAATTTGCTAGTTAATATACATTTACTCCAGGGTATGAATACAAATAAATTTTATTNAAAAGAAAAAAAAAAAAGAAAAAAAAAAAGAAGCTAATAATACAATAGGTATGTCTGAGACCTAGAGATGCATTAAAACCACTATTGGGTGCTGTAGGCTTTGTTTAGGATCTATACAAACTGGTATTTCTATAAGGTTGTAGCACTATTCTCCAGCAGAAAAGTTAATGTGTGAGTCAAGTTGTATGTCATGTTTTGTTAATTCAAGTTGAGCCACTTTACACTGAAGAAAAAGACCAAAAACATGAAGAATCAGTAGCTTCAAAAAACAAAACAGCCGTTTCTTCCAGGTAGTTTGGATGCAAATCAGACCAAGAGGTGTATGCAAATCCCAAATATTTACAGTCAAAGTACAGTATCACTCTACAATTTTCTTATAAAACAGTAGGTAAGGAGTCGATGTAGATGACGATGTCGGAGAAAGAGAATTCAGAAAGTCCTTTTCTTCTGTGACCTTCACTTCAGAGTCATCGAAGAGCAGCCACTTGCCCTCATACTCCTTGAGGCTCTGGAGCACATACAGAGCCTTGTTTTCCAGGCCGCTGGCTCCCACCCCGTTGGCCTCGCTGTGCTCCGCGCTGTGTTCTGCGCTCCCCGCGCTGCGCTCGGGGCTCCTGCTCTCCGTGACCACACTGAGGAACTTCTCGGGGTTGGCTGGTTTGTTGGGGTACAGGTCACAGTCAGACTTGCTCTTCTGCCCCCCGAGCAGTCCCACAGCTTCCACGTTCTTCTTGCTAAGGACCTTGCCCAGCTGGGTGGCACCATTGACCCTGAAGGAGACCTCACCGTCGTCGTAGTCGTCGCTCACGGCTCTGGCCTCCTCCTCGTTGAGCGGCTCCGGTTTGAGCACGGCGTACGTGGGGTTGGCCATGAAGGTGGCCCTGTCCAGCTCCAGGCTGCTGAGATCCGTGATCTTGACAGAGGCCGTGTAGTGTCCACTGCTGATGGTGATGCCGCTATGCATGACCACGGCAAATAATCCATAGGTGTCGTTGGTGGGCCTGGTGCTCCACTCCTCCAGGGACAGCTTGAGCGGCGTCAGCAGCGGAGTGTTGATCTTGGACAGGCCCCCGTAGCAGTCAAACCTTCACGAGGGAGACACAAGTTAAACTCTTTCCCAATAAACACCACTTTAGGGCCATAGGCCCATCTGTTATTTTCCACAAGTGATCAGGAGGAGTTTCTCCCTTCTCGCTTTGGATCACCAACATCTGTCCCAGGCATCCTGGTCAGTAAAGGCACTTTTATGACTGTATAATGGTAAATTTTGCAGCCTAGGAACTGTAAGTTTTAACAATTTAAGAGACTCCCTCTTTCTAAAGTATCAACTAAATTAATTTTTAAATAGTGATGATAAAAATAATTAGGCTAATTGTTATCATTCCTGATTCTATCCATGCACCAACACCTGCACCCCTCCCCAGACACCACTCTGCTTAAAAAAAGCAAAACAAAAACCTCAACAGCCAAGGCTGAAATAAGGAGGGCTGGGTTTTTTTCCCCTCCTGAAAGAGCCATTTGCTAAATAAAGAAATACAAATCTATTTTACTTTGAAGTAGCTTTAGTATGACTTAGAAAATCGGAGTGGTTTCTCTCAGATGCCCTCAGTGCACTGCCCCTGATGTGCACCTAGTAACACGTAACCAACACTTGCTACCAGGGATTCCTCATTACCTGTCCTGTGGTGGTCCATTTTTTCCAAGCAATTCTCTGGCTGATTTACTTGGAAAAGCATTTGGTATTCCAGAAATACTCAGCATTTTGTTCATAGTGCACAAATTTACCATGAGAAAAGTTTAAGTCCTTTCATTACAAGGATCTTCTACAGAGTTTGAAAAAAAAATATTACTGAATGATTCTGATCTTGATGAGTAACATATTGCATCAGCAAAAATTAATTAAGCTCTTTATTTAGTGATAGGTTGTGATGTCCTAATAGATTCCAGCGATGATTCACTTCTTGCTCAACTTTCAGGGTGTTGTAGGGAAAAATCCAGGGAAATACAGGCAAGCCCTGTAAAACTGAGGTTCCAAAGATCTCACTGCTATTATCCTCAGAAAAATTATCTCAAATCCAAGGAAATTGTAGCTATAGCATAACTGCAGTAACAGACTCTTGTTTTCCTGTGTTTAGTTTTGATTCTGCTTCTCATCATTTCACTCGTGTTCACAGCCATAAACCCTGATAAACACATTTACACACACATAGATCCTCAGTCACGTCACTCCCATTAAATGAAATCTCACTTTAGACCTAAGCTTACCATAAACATTTGACTCCACCAAAAGGAAAACAAAGAGCATATAATCAGAAATAATAAAACTTAAATCTTCTGAAAATCCCTATTGTTAGTAGCCAGAAATAGAGATATGCAGAAGAAAGTCAAGGAACAGAGAAACTGCTTGCTGATACTCCAGATCAGAAATCCAGTTCCACTCAAGCACGCTGGGACAATCATATTCACACAGAACAGTAGAAAGCAGGCTCTGCCTTTCTTCTGAATGAGATCCAGCATCAAAGATTTGGAGAGGAGGAAAGAAAGAAGAGAGGAAATTTTTTCTAGTAGTTTTTTCCTCTTCTTAAAGATAAGAATCTGAAGACAGAAAAATTGCATGCTAAGTACTCTGCCTGCTCTGACTGATGCACTTCACACAGAGCAAACCTGACTACAGCTACATCTTTTGAGGCTATAAATTAACTTTACCCACTGTACTCCATTTCACAAAACAAAAAGCTGATTTTCTCACCAACTGCTAAATTTCCATAGTGGAAATGCTTAATTGCATATTACCAGTTACACATTTCTCCTTAAGAGCTTTGCAGCCTGAGCACATATGGCCTATGATTTTTCCCCCCCACACACACTTGCCAAAGAGAATTACTCATCCCCAGGCAAGTAGATTTTCACACTGGTTGCTTTATTTTAAAACAAACACTTTGAAAACCAGCATTTAGGAAACATGAATAAAGTTCCTATTAACTGCAAATATTGACATTACCCTTCATTTCTCTTTATTTATTTACAACTCAGTCATCAGAGAACTCAGTAGAGCACAACTGAGCAGACAACATTTCCAAATTTTTATGGGAGCTAAGGGAAGGTGTATGAAGATGCTTAGTTTAAAAATTTAAGTGTCTGAAGCCAGTAAAACAGTTTGTTACTACTTTTAGCAATGGCATGGTTTTGTCCAAGATAAAACATTTAAGTAAAAAGCCAGAGAACTCTTCTAAGCGGTTTCAGCTTCATCACTGACTCCAGTTGTACACTGAATTTTCCACTCTGACTTCCTTAATCTCTGGTTGCCAGCCCTTGGCAGAAAATGTCTGGCATGACTGAGGACACGGGAGGAAAACCACAACAGACTGGATTCTGACCTGGATATTGGTCTGAGTATTTTGGAGCAAGGACCTGAAGGCTGTCAGGACAGAAGAAGAGGTGAGTGGCTCAGGAGATGGCTGGTTAACCTGAAAGTGCTTCCCCAGGGAAACAAAAACATAGGAAATAGAGGAGCAAATGGAAGATAATATTCAGGTTTCCTTTCAGATTGTATTTTTTTCAATAGCCTGTAAACATACCAGGATTCCATCCCACATCAAGCGCTACTCAATAATACAAGGGGATTTTTAAGTGTGCAACTTTAAGTCAATATCTATTAAGTCAATATTTAAGTCAAATATTATGGACATCAATGACAAGAAAATTTTGTATGTTATGATCCTGGACTTGTATGAGAAGACATTGCAGAGACAGAGGAAGCTTCCTTTCTACTTTGTCAGAAACCTGGATATTCCTAAAAAAATACTACAAATGGGCAGTGAGAAATGCACCTTTAACAATCTTAGCAAACTACCTGTAAAAAAGTAACAATACCATCCTCAGCACTGGATATGTTACAAATCTTTAACTGACCACAGTTACCAGCACTTGCTTAGAGAGCATCCTCTGACAAATCATTTGACAACTTAGATGTGGTATTTTTGTCTAAAATATTGGTGACATGAATAGTATAAACTAAATTCCATGGCAGACATCATGCCTGAAGCTTCCTGCTGGTGAGGTGGCTCTGAAGGTCTAAAGCCAAGTGAGGGGGAAATGCAGCACACAGGGAACTTGGGGGATAAAAGGCCAAACTAATTTGTGCCTAAAAATCTTACAGTCCATCCCAAAGGCTCAGAGGCTGCAATAAATGGTGTGCCAGTTTCCTAGAGGATCTGGGAGAATATTTTATAGTTCTAAGAATTTTCTGCTGATGATGCTGTCATTTTTCGTTATTTAAATCTCAGTGGAGAAATGGAGTTTACTGCAAAATGCTGAGTATAAATTGTCATGACACTGATTTGTGTAAGGACATTACTGCAAGGATGAGGTTTTCTTTGGGTTTTCCCAGAGAAAATCCCTAAATTCTTAAGTATGAAAAAAAACAAACAAAACCACTCACAACTGCTTTCAAAACATAAGAATTACTACAGTTCTAATATCAAACACTGATTGTTCAGTAGTTGAATGTCAGTGAGGCTGATATTACTGTATTTTTAAATTAATTGATCAGTTTTTTGGTGTGTTAGCTCTTTAAAATATTTATCTGTCAATTTTTCCACCTCAGATTTCAGTGCTCACATTCAGGTAGAGAGCACTAAAATTTGTATTGTAAAAACTGTAAAAAAATTGTACTAAAAGTATTTTTTAAGGAATTGATCAATTTTGGGTAATGACTGTTAGCTCTTTAAAATGTTTAACTCCTGATTATTATTATTCCCCGCTTACATTCATTTTTTTAGTACTTACATTCAGGTAGAGACTGGCTGTGACCATAAAATTCAGATTTGTTCTAATTACTTGTTCTGTTATAGTACTTAAAGCTGCCTCTAAACTCAAAGGGACAGGTGATATTTAAAGTTTTAAGAAAGAACAATAAATCAGGCTGTTTTTTAAGAGTACAGCCAAAATATTTTTGTCAAGAAGTCTCCTAAAAGACAATTTTCCTGCAGGTGATTTCTGCCACTGCTCCTAAGAACAAAAAGCCTTTATGGAATCAGGGGCTGCATCCCAGCCATTTAAGTTAATTTCAATCTGGAAATCTGCTTTTGGCAAAGTTACAAAGCATTTTCAACTCCTGTGATATGATTTCCCTTCCTCCAGGACACTGTTTCATAACACAGTCAATGCATACTCACTCCAAGCCACTGGCAGCAAAGCACTTCAAGTGAATTGTTATAACTTCGGGCATTTTATCGAATAAAAGGCTGCGCTCGGCTTCCGTGTAGTGATGGCAGTTCTCACAGAAATATTTGTCCTCTCCCACAATCCTCTCCACTGAGGCAAACTGTGAAATTGCCCATTTCAGAGTCTTCGTTTCTGTTTTTGGCTCTGGAGAAACTAGAAAAGAGAATAGTTACATTTACGTTCACAGACAGGCCAATATTTACATTTCCAAAGCGTCCGACCAGAACAACAACAACACAAAACATGTCAAAGACAGGCTCAAAAACAACAACACTGTAAAGAACACTCAGTATGTGTGAAATAGATGTATTTGAATCTTTGGAGCATTTCAGGAAGGGTTGAAAAGATCTCTTTCTTCAAATCTAAGATTTTTCCAAAGCTTGTTTCAGATAACACAGAGTAATTCTACTACCATGTCTGGAAATTGGGTCCATGAATTTCACTTATTAGGGCAAACATCCAAAATAACCAGAAAGTTCCCTTTCACTTCTTACATTTTGCCTCCCCTGCCACCCTCACACTGTTGACAGGATCACCTACACTGACAGCAGCATTTTACACATGAACATTTCCCCACACATTTTACTCTGAGTCCTTCACCAAAATGGGGAGTAAAGGCAGCAAAAGTTGCTCCAAATTAATTCCATGGGAACTAAAATTAATTCCCTTAAGATTCTCCATTTCAAAATTTAGTATTATAATGCTTACTTTTTAAAACACCTAAAAACTATGAATAGATCAATAAAATTTGTGAAAGAGACCAGAGAATTAACATTCACAAAGATAAAACAAATGCTATCAAGGCAAAAACAATAAAAAATTTTTAGAGTAGTTAACAAAAAAAGCTGGGTTCTCATTTAATTTTGAGGAAAAAGTGCAAATATTTCTTTTAAGAAGAAAAAGCAGAAAAATTCCTTATCCAGGAAGAAAGAGAAGACCTACATCAAAGAAAATACTTATTTATAAGCAGGAAAACATGTACCTAAGTGAAGGACTGTAAGCAGTCCATGCTACAGTGTTAAGATTTGGAACAATTTTAATATTATCTGGATCTGTCAACAGTATCAGCACTGTGTTTCCAAAGTCTAAAGTTAATCAGGACAGGAGATAAGAGCCTCTAATTTTAGTCAGCACAAACAGAAGCCATGTTCCTTGATAACCACAGCACTGTCCTTCCCTGTGGCTGGCTGAGGCAGAAACACCTCACACCCCTTTCTGAGACAATTACTTACTTTCAGAACTCTCTTCAGCTTTAGAAAGTTCATCTTCTTGCACTGGAACACTGATGTCCTGAAAATCTTCTCTCCTTTCAGTAAAGCACTCGCACTCCAAACACCTTGTTCTCAGCACTAACTGGCCCTGGAACAGTTTCTCCACCAGTTCAAAGACAGCCAGTTCTGTACCTAGAGAAAGTACAAGTCACATCACTGAGCAAGTTGCGCTTTCTTCCAAACACTATCTTTGGCTATCCGTAGAAAATCACTATGTTAGAGCCACAGCCTATTGGGGATCCCACATCAGAATTAAAACTATGTATCACATGCAGTTTTCAGACTACCATCCACCAGTAAGTAAATACAGAGCCTCTGTCTCTTGGCCCTCAAACTTTAATTTCTGTTTTAAGATTGGGTACTTGTTTTATATTTCAAGTGTGGCATTCTGCAATATTTGTCATCAATGCACTGACTTAGTATGGACTATCAGCCTCCTCAAGGAGCGTCACATGTGTGGGTTTGGCTGGTTTCTATTTATTCTCAGTCCTCTCCTCCGATACTTTCTAAATTTGTTGGCCAGTTTTGGTCAAATCTGCTGAAGAAATGCAGATCTCAAAGATTCTGCATTCCTTCAATTTTTTATAAAAATTGGTGGATGGGTCAGAAAGTTCCAAATTGGTAATTACTGAATTCATACTGAGCCCCTTCTCTCAGCAGGTACCTTGTTTCATTGACACAAAATCCATACCTGCCAGCTAATTAGAATATGTAATACATCCTGTGTCCTTCCTAGTTCTTGGGAATGTTGGGAATATGGGAGAAAACTTAACAATAGGGAGGGAAGGAGAGAATATTATTTGTAAACTTGGGCACAAAGCCATGGCCAATGGAGTTTAATTCTGTTTGCTCCTGACCATCATCTTCCTTTAAATCTTGAATCCATTTGCTATGTCTATGGATGACAAAAATTAGAGATAATACAAACCTGGCAGTGTTCTGCCTTTTTTTTCTTTTTATACATATACATTGTACAATGATTACAGAATGTTAGAGGAATACCTCGAGATCTAAGCTAAACAGGTCAAGTTATAAAAAAAAATTACAAACACATATAAAAATAAATTCCTGTTCCTAAAAATCTTCTTCAATTCCTGAAAATCTAATTTTGTGGTTAGAGCTCTGCAAGCTGTGCAGTCTGAAGACTGACTTCCCACGCATTGTACTTTCTTAATCATACTAATTTTAAGCCCATCACTTGTGCACCAACCTTCCTTTTTTGGTTCTTTTTCAGTTCGCTTTTCATGGTGGTTTTCCACAGGAGATGCCGGTTCATGATATTCTTCTTTACTGTCACCATTTTCACACTTGGCAGATGACTCTTCGAGCTCACAGTCATATTCTTTCCCTGGGTCTTTGGATCCCAGGTTTGTAGTTAATTTTCCTAGACTATAAAATTTGGACAGAATGCTGGGCTGCTTGCACGAGGATTTTAACCAGTTTAACCTAAGCCGTGACTTCTTCTGCGTGGGCTTTGCGCCCTCGCTGTCCCCAGAGCACTTGGCGATGGCGTCGCTTTGGGTTTCCAACTTTTCCCCTGTCGCTTTCCTCTTTGACCTGGTCTGCCTTTGATTTTCCTCTGCTGCAGTTTGCTCTTTTGACACTTTGGATTTTTTCTTGGCGTTGCCACCCTCGGCGTCACTTTTCCTTTTCCCATGTCCCTTGAGCAGCTTGTCCTCGGACGCGTCTCCGTCATGGCTGCTCGGAGCGGGATCCTCCTCCTCGGCAGCGCTGCCAGTCCCGTTGCTCTCAGGGTTTGGGTTGAGTTTTTCCTCCAATTTAGATGCAGGTTCCTCCATGGGCAGTTTGTTCAACTCTTCCTTCTTCAGCAGCTGACATGTTTCCTGGATGTTTCCCAGGATACACTGCAAGACTTCCTGGGCATCGTGCTGCAGGTACCCTTCATACATGGGGTTCAGCTCTCTAGGGAAAAGAAACAAGCAGAGCAACGAGGATTAGTTATTCTTCGCTAACTGGGTAACATGATTTGAGATTTAAATTAGGCATTTAGTCAGAAAAGTCATGGAGGGTCCTGTCTAGGCCTAGAGAGAAGCCCTCCCTGTCACAGAGTCATAGGAAAGTTCAGCCTTAGGCATTTAAACACAGACTGAATTGCAACCCAGTGGTACAGCTTCTCAGGTCAAAGAGAAAATCCTTCCCCATCCCTGGAAGTGTTCAAGGCCAGGTTGGATGGAGCTTGGAACAACCTGTGATAGTGAATGGTGTCCCTGCCCATGGCAGGGGGTAGAACTGGATGATCTTTAAGGTCCCTCCCAACCAAACCATTCCCAAGTTCTATGACACTTCTGTACCTAAAGCTAAGCACCATTTTAAACTCTCTTCTGCATTCTTACAAAGTTAAAATTTACTTCAGGCTTCTGACATCACGGACATAACAATAAGCACAAAACCTTTACTTCGTACAAGGCCACCCGAAATTTAAGATCCTCTGCCTTCCACCAGCCTCTGAAGCTGTGCAATGGGAACAACCTGGAAATGTCAGGAGCAAACCCTGACAACGTTTAGGGTGATTTGTACCTGAGGGTGTTCAGGAGCCTTCGGGGCTGAGTAGCAAGTTCATCTGTGTACTTTTCTGGGTTTAGGAGAAAACTGGCTTGAAGCTGTTCAACTGACAGAATCAAGGAGTGCAAGCTGCAGATGAGCTCATAACTTGCCAGGGGATCTTCCTTACAACTTGCCTGCAATAACAATGTAAAAAGAAAAAAACACTTGCAGTTTTGTCTGTAACAAGTTAACTTTTCTCTCCTGCCCTCCCTTAGTTTTCTTAGGGAATTTGACAGGGTTTTTGTGTGCCATGGGAAGCAGGTGGGTTTCAGGCAATATATTGTTCTTTTCGAAGTAGAAAACAAACATAAAAGCCAAATTAGCCATTATTTTAAACCCCCAAACCATCCTTGCCCAAACTCCCATTTCCATCCACTCAAAGTAATGTATCATAATTATCTTAATGCCAAAAGCATGATGAGATATCTTCTCAAATTTCTTCTGTTAAACTTTAAGACTTGGGCTTACAAGTTTACAGACCTTCAGAACACTCATGTTTGAACACAAGTTCAAAACAACTCAAATATATCTTTTACTGAAGTAACACTGTAGAAAAAAATGCTGAAAAATTTGTTAAGAACAGAAGAAATTAGTTAGATTTTCACTATACTCCCTTGCATGCAGCCTTACTTACAAAGTAAAGAACATGTGGAGATTTGTTACCTTTTCTGCCTTTTGCTCTCCTTCATCCTTCAAAGATTCTTTCTTCTTTGAAATGATGTTATATAAATGTTTTACTCCAGTTTTAAAACCAGGACAGAAATATAATACCTGAAAGCAACAGTTGAAAACAGGAGAATAACTTGAGTAAGAGGTTACTCCACATAGAAATCCACATTTATGATCCAGCCAGCTCTGCACCTCCCCAGGCTGTGCACAGCACACAAAGATCCAGGATTTTTCACAGCAGGGAGGAGCCCTGAGTATGGAAACTGAAGAATTACCCAATCAGGACAACCTACATTTCCTGCAGCAACATTTTTTTTCCCCCACACTGTAATTAGATTCCCTTCATACTACAGCCAGACATCCATGGAATATCAAACTACAAATCTCACCCACTTGTGCTTAACCAAAAAAACCGTTTGTGAGGTCCCCCTTGCCCTCACCTGCAGGACACTGTTCAGGTAACAGGTGTTCCCCAGGTTGTTCAAGCCCACAAAAGGCAACATGTTGTCTTTTTTCTCACAGCTGACAAGGGAGGGAGGCTGTGCTGCAGGAACGACCTGGTCACTGTGGAACAGAGAAAACAGGGAGTAAAGAGACAGCTTTGGAAAAGGACTCCTTCACTTCCCATCTCAGAGCCAACCGACACAATTCATCACTAAGATACACAGCTCAAAATCACATCAAAGTGTGTCTGAGAGTGTCTATATTCACGCTAGGAACTCAAACACAAACTCCTCAGCTAAAACACCACCCAAAAATAAACAATTTTACAAAAATCAGGCAAATCTGCTGTTAGTCCCAACACATACTTTTCAAGTAGTATCAGGAAACCGAATAAAGGAACAACAACAAAAAAAAAAGTTCACTTTTAAATATTTTTGTACTTTTTTTTTTCATTCCTAAGGTACAAAAACATGTCTAGAACATATTTTCTATCCCTCTGCCATGTTCCAGAGTCACATAATTTCTGGATGCAAAGCAAAAAAGATAAAAGTAGAAAAACAAAATTAAAACAAACTAATGAACCTGACACATAATATACTAATTATCATTATTATTAATCACTGATATAAGTGATTAATGCACTGTACTGACACAACAGAACCAAATTTTTAAGACTCCAACTATTTCTAACTGACCACAATCAAGCAACATTGCTTTTTCCCATTAAACCCCCCCATTAGCAAAGAAATGGGTTGATAGATTTGCTCAGGGCTTGAAAAGCCCCAATGAATGACAGGCAGCACCACAACCAATTCATTTCCTTGCAGCAGAAACAGCCTTTAAAATCCAACATCTTTTCATTAAGACTCATCTCACAAAAAGTTACATTTAATATAAATAATAATATAAATACCTCAGCAGCAGAGTAACTACTTATATAAACTTAAACAAAGCAAATTCTCGAAGTGATCATAAAGTTTTTGCCAACTGAAGACATCCACAGTGTGGCAAAGTTGTTTCCTTAAGACAGTTGTAGAAACTGGTTATAGTGATTATTTAGCTTTAAAAGAGAGTCACTTATTCAAGTAATCCCTAAAGTTTGTGCCAACTAAACATCCACAGCGTCACAAACTTATTTTCTCCAAAAAGTTATAAAAAAATCGGTTATCATGATTACTTTGTTCAGTTTGATTAAGTTGGGTCGAGGGTTAACTAAATTTAAACGCACGTTAATTTAATTTTCAGCGCACGTTATTTCAGCCTTCAGCGCACGTTAATTTAATTTAGCGCGCGCTGCAGCGCACATTTATACACGAACACGAAACTGAGCCGAGTGGAAGGACTGAGCATCGCCGGACCTACACGACACCGCCACAAAACAAACTTCTCCCGCGCGGCACTCACATCTCGGCGCCTCTGAACTCCGCGCCCTTCTGCTCATTTTCCTGCGCCTCGGTAAAATCCAGCGCTCTCTTCGCCTCCTTCTTCTGGAAGAGCTTCAGCGACAGCCTGTTCTTCCTGCCGGGGCTGGCCCTGGCGGTGTCGGCGGGCAGGACGCCGGGCATGGCTGGAGCGGGGCGCGGCGCTCACACCTGGCGCGCACACACACACACACGCGCACACCAGGCGCCATTTACTCTCCGCGGGGGCCCCCCCCGCCGCCCGCCGCCCCGGGCTCGGGCCGCCCCCCCGCGCCCCCCGCATGTCCCCCCGCGGCCGGCGGGCCCCGGGCGGGCGGCGCGGCCGCTGCCCCCCCTCTCTCCCGTCCCTCCCTCCCCGTCCGTCCGTCCCTCCCTCACTCACCGCTACATCGCGGCCCCGCTCCCGCTCGCCGTTGCCATGGAGACCGCGGGCCGCGCGCCCGCAAACTTGGCGCGTTTTTTTCCGCGCGCCCGCGAGGACCCCCCCCCCCCCCCCCCCCCCCCCCCCCCCCCCCCCCCCCCCCCCCCCCCCCCCCCCCCCCCCCCCCCCCCCCCCCCCCCCCCCCCCCCCCCCCCCCCCCCCCCCCCCCCCCCCCCCCCCCCCCCGCGCCGCCCGCCCCGCGGGAACGCCGGAGATGGAGCGCGCCGCGGGACGAGCGCAGCAGCGAAGAGCCGCGCGGAGCGGCGAAGGGGGGCGCGCAGGGAGCTGGCGGTGACACCAGAGGAGCCTCGATGGCAGAGCGTCGCCAGCAGCAGGGCGGCAGGCCCGCCGCCGCATCAGGCAGCGCGGCGAACAGCCCGCCAGGGGTCCTGGCTGAGCGCGCGCGGGCGCTGGTAACGGCCCGGCCAAAGGGCTGTCGGGCTCGGGCTGTACCATTGCGAGGGGACAGCGCGGCTCCCACCCCCGCCCGCGCGCGGTGGATCGGTCCCGCTTTGGCCACGCCTCCCAAGCCGACTCAGCCAATCAGAGGCGGCGGCTCCACCCGCCCTGAGGGCCCTCGGGTTGGTTCCGCCCCAGCCCCGCATGGCGGTCCCGGGGCCCTGTCTGTGGGGCTGTCCCGCGCTTTGCGTGGCCGTAAAGCAAGCGTTCCACGTGTAGTCCCCGTCAGATCCCAGCTAAAAAGGCTTTACCAGCACAGCTGTGGAGAGGGCAATAAATTATAGTTATCACCGAAGCTGATAAGGCAGCAAAGATGCTGGGACAGATCAGTACGCTCAAAAAAGATGGAATGTGGGAAAATGCTATAGATTAGTCCATTCTGCTCTTTAAAACTGGCCCCTCCAGGACCAGTTTATGCATTGCTGACAGAAAACCTTTATAAATTCTGTGAGTGACTCAGTCTGAGGATGGTCAGGAGTCAATATGTTTGTAGCTCCACATCCGTCGCAGATCCATCACACTCTTTAGAAAAAAGACCCCTTTCTAACTAAGACTTTTTTCTTTTTCTTTTTTTTTTTTTTTTAACCTGTCTTAACTATATAATTTGTTTTCAAGAAAAAAATCTCTGACAGACTAATGCAAGGTGGTAAAATACATTTTTTATCTGTGGAAGTGTATCAAAGTAAGTGCCAGTTCTGTGCTTAAAGACAACTGCGCTTTCTTTTAAGAAAAACAATGAAATAGTTTAAATCTACTGTCAGTCTTGTATCCAAGCAACTGTCTGTGGGGGACACAATCATCCTGTTTATATGAAAGGCCCCAATAGTTTGTTTTGGTTTTACTTGCTGTGAATTAACAAGGTCTTGTCTTTATATATTTGGTGGGTTCAGTATTTCACAAATTCATCTGGCTCTGAAAATTGCTCTTTTATTTCCTCCATGAAAGGGCTTGGATTTTTCACATTTCTCCTTGAGACCCAGAAGAATAATCCAAGTCCAGCTATGATGCTCTGTGGTTTCATATCGCCCTAAAAGGTCGGGAATCTTTTCAAGATTCATCTTTTATCCTGAGGATAAGGAACTCCATGTGCCAGTCACACTTTTTAAACACTGATGTTAATTTTTTAAGCCTCTGAACCACAGTTGTTTATTCCACTGGAAAACTGTTCTAAACCATTTTTAAGTTATTCACATAAGATATTTTATAGGATTAGTTTCATAACTGACTTCGAACTATGCCCAGACCTAGGCCTTGGGGAGAGTTACCCCAAATTTGAGCTCTCCAAAGCTGAAGTTCCCCAGGACAAACCCCTGCTACCTCTCCTCAGCGTGGCACTGTGCTGCCTGCTGAGTACTGAAGCAAACTAAACCACCACAAAATCACACACTTTTTTTTGCAATCTTGCAATTTTTAGATGTTTTTAACACTGCTTCATGAATTCATTGTTACTACATATAGGTCATATTCGTATGAATTATGGCAGGAATTATGTCTCTTCCAACAATCATAGACATGCTCGCTGCTTTCATTTACAAATAGAATTTCTCTAAATTATGGGTGAAATATCCACATATTCCCACAAATCCATCACCCAAGAACCAAAGTTCAGATTCCCAAGGTATATGTTGACCTAAAGATCTAGTTCCTTGGCCTGTGGGATCTCCAGAGCTACTGCATTCCCACTCAGCGTCGCTGGATTTCCCAACAGGAGCTCTGTGATATGAACTTTAGCTCCACTTAGCAAACATTGCCTGAAGTCACTGCAGTTAATAGACACTCAGGACTACAGAGGTTCTTTTGTATGACACAAGAGCCTTATCCAGGTGGGTGGTGCCCAGAAGTCATGGAACTGCTTGGTTGATTAATAATGTTTCAGTAAGTCTGTTACACTGCCGGTTTGAGTCATCAGCTGAGGAGTCACTTCACTGGGAGCTGGAAGGCGCTGGACAATGAAACTCGTGGTTGCAAGGAGACAGGGTGAAATCTCTGAGTGTTTGGACCTTGAATCAGTAAAAGACTGGAATAAACTCCGAGGGCAGGGGCCCAGTTGCTCCAGGTTTCTTGCGTGTGATACAAAAGCACATTCACACAGATCTCAAGTCCAGTGCCACAACCAAGGCTGTTCATCTCAATAAAAGTGTGTCCTGTCCAGTGTGTGGTTTGCCATCTGCTTTAACAAACATGAGAAAAGACGATTTATATCCAAGGATTTCACCACCTGAGGGTCTAATTCTGTATGTCGAGTAATTCCTAATTCCATGTGTTAGCTAAGCTCCAGTTCTACTTGTACCTAGGACCACCATTGGTGACTTAAGAAGGCCAAGCTTTGGATGTAAAGTCAGGCTTGTGGACATTTACAAGCTTGTACTGTAACTTTCATGGGCAGTGACTGAGTGAAGGAGGGAAGGGATATGTTTGCTGAGTATTTTTGAGGGACTGGAAGTGCACACAGCATTTTCACAGGGTGGTTATGGTTCTTTGGTCTAATTAAGTCAACTCAGTTTTCATAGGTATAATGCTTATTTGAATCAACAAATGCATCTGCCACACAACCAGACATAAAGAAGCCCCAGACAGTGGAGCACCTCTCAGAAAACTCAGCACGTTTGGAACAACTTTACCTGCCCTTTTTCCACAGTGTGGTGTCACCTTCCAAATGCTCCCATTAAAGAGGCCTCTGTGCCATCCTGTGCTGAGCTGTTGTGCAGCCTAGCAGAGCTACATGTCAGGTCTGCTTACTGAATTATTAAAATTCAAATTCCTCTTTTTTTTTCTTTTTCTACTGGTAATTTCATTTGATTATGTATAACCCTTACCCTGCTCTAAATAATTTCTCTCCTTTAACATACTCACAAATTTCTTCCTAGTTCCTCATCATTGTTATTTTGATCAAGCCATACATCTGTCTTTTTTATCTCCTCTAAGTTAGTTCTCTCCAGCTTCAAAAGACAAAGCCAATATCATTATAAGAGATATCCTGATTGATTATTACGTTTCCCCTCTGTCACCTGTATGGTAAACTGGGGTAAAATCTTAGCTGAAAGTCTGCCAACTAATTGTTTTTTAAAATTTGAAGTACAGTCACACCTCTGCCTGTGCTTTCTTAGACAGCTACATTTCTGCATCAACTGTAATTCCAGTCCAGGTCATTGTTGTATCCAAAATTTTAAGGCACACGAAGCTCTCCAGGCAGTGTCACCGCTTGGCATGCCCAGGACAGCCTGGCTTGCATTATAAAATACCCCTAAAGCCATGATTTATTTTTAAACAGCAAACGCAGGGGAAGCAGAAGCTCCTCTTGTTGGGAAGAAGCTTCACCCACCAGCCTGACATGGTGCTGTGCTGCCTAAGAGACACCCACGCAGCTCCATCTCAAACCAACCATCCAGCAGCTCCTTCCCACCTAGGAAAAGCCCTCAGCTCCACGAAACCTACTCTTCACCAACCTCTCACCCTCTCAAATTTCTATGCCCCCTCTTAAAATATGGCTCCCTGACACTAGTGAATGCATGGACATTTTTTCCAGCAGGAAAACCTTCTGTTTAAATGTAAGGAAACGGGGATTATTTCTTTGCTGTATCTCTCCAAAAGCAGAGTCACACCTAATTAAATATTTATGGCAGCTTAGCATGCTCCATAAAGGAGCTGTTGTCTAGAAGCCTCTGAAGTTCCAGCTCTGTACAGTCAAGAAGTATTTCAGGCACAGGCCAAAGAGGGAGCAGGTGCAGGAGGCAGTGATTCCTTACATACAGACCCAAGGCATTCCAATGTGCAAGATTAAATTATGTCTAATACTATAGACTTCACAGCCATGTGTTATAAAAATAGCTGTGCTGGGAAACCAGAAATCTCCACAGACATAGCCAAAAATAACCATATGAAATGCCTGGAAAGAGCAGATTCCCCAGAGGTGGGATTTCTGGAGTCCTGGAGGCAGTCTCCAGTACAGAGCATGATTCTCTGCAGGGAAAAACCTCCCCAACCTTTAGCTGTGGCTGAATCACATAAATTATAGCAGCTTCCAGAGCATGCAGCCACATCAGTGATAGGCCTATAAATCTGTCAGGGTTCTTGTATTGTCAGAATTATTCTGTGAATTTTGGTGCAAATTGTGTGCAGACAGTGTGCTCTTTCAGCAGGCTCAGATCACACAGGGACCTCAGAGTGGGAAGTTCTGCAGCCTACACTGGGCAAAACCCATCTTATTCTTGAGGGATACAATTCTGTGTCAAATTCCCCACACAGAAAAGGTAAGAAACTGTTCACAAAAGTAAAAATAAGGACTATAAAATGTCAAGATGGGACTGGCTTCAGTCAGAGGGAATAGAAAAGAATATTTAGGGATCTTACTGTTTGGTGATCCACAGTTCATGCAAACTCTCTGCCCTTGCACAGCCAGAAACAGGAACAAATTGTCTGTCTTGCTTTGCTCCACTGGAAAGGAAATCTGACTCTTCCCACAGCAAGCAGCCTGGGAACGTCATAAACCCTGAACTATTCCTGCTTGATGAGCTACATCTGCTTTCAGAGGATCTCAAATCATTTCATAACCCATTATTTAACTTTGCTGCTGCTGTGCTGGGGCACATGGGAACAATTTGGCCACTGCAGAAC